ATTTATTGGAAAAATTTTAAGAACAATTGAAGTGGTGAATTATTCAAAGGTAATGGATAGTTGTTTGTCAAATATATAGATTACTTATAAAATATTATTGACTGACTATACTAGTCACAATTTTCTTTAGAGAGAAATTTCTTAAAGTTGATCAAATTTTACTATACGTCACAAAAAGTTTATCAAAGTGACATTGTTTTGGTCTAATAAGCACCCTTAAATTTTTATCAAAATCTCATTTTAGTCATTGCACTTTTGTTAAAACCTTACTTTAGTGATGATAAATTGAAGGAATGGTGACATTGTAGCTCGACTGTTACAATTGAAAGTGAAAGAACAATATGATTCATATTCCATGAAAGTCACTTGTGCTGACTTTGCCTCTGCCACTATTTCGGCATGGTGAAGTGCCGATCTGCGAGTGCGCTGAATGACTGGTCTGGCGGATGGGTGGACATTGAGTTGGTGACTGATGAAGTTTGGATCAATGCCTGGCATGTCGTAGGGCGTCCAGGCAAATACTTCGATGTTAGAGGTCAAGAATTCCAAGACCTCTAATCTCTCAGTGCTGGACAACGACGAACCAAGCAAAAAGAACTTATCCGGGTTCTTTTCATCTATTTTTACCTCTACCAAGTCCTCTACCGCTTTCTGATCCGCTGCTTTGCCGACGTCTGCGAATAGCTCATTACTTTCTGGTTCTTCCACTGAATGAACGTATCCTTTGGCAGCGCGACTGCCATTTACAGTGGCGAAACATTGTTTTGACATGATCTGATCTCCATAGACTTCTTCAATTATTCCGGTGTCGTTAGGGAACCGCATTACCTGGTGGTAGGATGACGCCACCGATCGCATGGCATGCAGCCATGTTCTGCCCAAGATGATGTTGTAAGTGGAAGGGACCTTTAATACCCAAAACTCCACTTGTTTTGTCACGCTTCCTGCTCTGACTGGAAGAATTATTTTGCCGACGGGCCACTCTGGCATGGAGTTGAATCCAATTAGGGGAGATACTGCAGGCGCCAAGTCTTTGTCTTGTAGCTTTAGTTGTTTAAATATGTCGTAGTACATGATTTCACATGAACTACCCTGGTCAATCAGAATCCGCTTGACGTCAAAATCCTTGATTCGGAGAGTGACGACTAGGGCATCATTGTGAGGACAGTATATTCGATCCAAGTCTTTATCCGAAAAAGACATAACGTTTGTTGCCTCTGTTTTCCCCTTCTTGATGGCAAGTTGGGCACTTAACACCTCTCTAAAGTGCTCAGCCTTCTTGATTGATCCCCTGAGCTCACATAGACGCTCAGGTTCAAAGACTCCATGTATTACATTGATAATGACTTGAGGTGGGGCGTCGATTGGCATTCCGTTGGGGTTATTGTGATCCTGGGGGGCTGGTTGCGTCCCTCCTTCAATGTATTTGTCAAGTGGCCTGCTGCCACCAACTCTTCCAGGTGTTGTCTCAATGGTGTGCAATTCTCCCGTGCGGTGCCCCTTTTCTTTGTAGAAGGTGCACCGCGATCTTTCGTCATAGTCCTTCCGGGCTTCTCCTAGCTTGGCTGGCCACTTGACGAAAGGCTCATCTCTTAATTTCGCTAAGAATCCGATATATCGGTTTCTTGAACACCGGTGGTTATGGCAGTGCGGATTCTCAACCATCTTTTATCCGGGTCTTCTCCGTTATCTCGTCTGCCACGTCCGTTTTTGCTCTGACGATCTACTGTATTGACCTTCGCTGAGGTCTTTCTTCTGGTACTGCGGTCGCACTAGATTGCTTTGGCTCGTGCGCCATCCTCTTCTACCCTGATGTGCTGATGCACTCTTTCCATCAGGGCTTCCATAGTGAGGGGTGGCGTCATGGTGATCGAGTCCCTCAGTCTGTTCCCACTGGAAGGCCTCTTTATACTGTGCAATGGCGAGATTGGTGGGGCAGTCCCAATCTGATTTGAATGTCTCCACCAGTAGCGACTGTTGTAGGATCTTAGGGTCTCTTTATCGCCCATGTCGATGGAGAGTAGCTGGTCGATCTCCACCGGGGTTTTAGTGTTTGTTCGGAACCTTGTTACGAACGCTTCTGCCAATTGCGCCCAAGGGCTATGCTGCCCTCAGGAAGTTTCTCGAACCAAGTCAAAGCTAGGTCGCCAAGGCTAGACGGGAAGAGTATGCACATTAAAGGCCTCGTTTTCGCCTGTAAACGGCCATGACTTGGCGAAAGTGGCTTAAGTGGAGTACGGGTCCGTCTTCCCTTCATATGTGGTGAATTTCGGCTGAAGGAAGCCTGATGGTAGGGGCGCGTTTTTCGATCACTGGAAAACAAACGGTGAAGTCTGTAGTTCTTGCCAATGCTTTGTCCGTTGGTTCGTAGGCTGGGCGCGGTATTGGCATTCCAACCTTGACGCTTCCATGCGTCCGAGGGGCCAACCGCTGTAAGGCAGAAACTCTGTGCGGATCCCGCGCCCTGGCATCCTCCTTGCATCGTGCTTTCTCTTCGAGCACGGTTCGTAAGTCGGATGATCTGGGTAATTCCGTCTGTCTAGCTCTAGTTTGATGCGAATGAGAGGGCCAGTATGTGCTTCCTTCAGTGTATGATCTTTCAGACTTCGTCCTCTCAGACCTGGAGTGACGAGTTCTAGAAGACCATGATTGAGTATCGCCTGTCCTGAGGCTTCTTCTCTCTCCTTGTGAGGGTGTAGTATTCCTACTACGGTTTTCTGAGTGGCGAGGGGGCGTCTTGTTTTTGCGCCCCTCTCCCGTCGCCACTTCTTTCTTCTTCATATGGCGTTTCAAGGCCTCCATGTCCACCGCCATCTTTCTTATCAATTCATCTTGCTTTTTCACGCGGTTTTCCAGAGCTTGGGGGTCAATCCTCCGTCTTTGCCTGTCAGGACTTTGTGAACGAGAGTGATGGGGGCTGTTATTTCGCCTTTCCCTAGCATCCCTTTTGGAGTTATGTCGTTGGGGCTCCAAGTCCGCCATGGGAGGGACAGAAGGTAATCCTTCACGCCTTGCGCCCCCATCTGGAGTTAGTCCGTCGACAGCGGACTGCGGCAATTCTTCAATGTGTGCCATTGAATGTAAAGGGGAGAAGCCTTAATCAAGAGGTTTTGTTCTGTCTGTTCTTCCCACAGACGGTGCCAATTGTACGGGAAAGAAATAATTCTCCTCGTATAATCCTGTTGACTAAGTACACGCTCCTCCGTACGACGTCGCTTTGTCACCTGAAAACACAAACGTGAGCTAGCCGGCGGGTGTGTGCCGGAAACCTCTCCGATGCCTAAGTCAGCAGACTTGACAAATAGACAAAGCTCAATGTATTCAGAATGCAAAATTGTATGTTGTGTTATCTCTTCTAAGGTGATGTTTGTGAGCTTTTATAGGTTTCGAGTGGCACAATCATAGTAGGACTCTTATTTCTCCATGCAGAGTCCTCCCAGGATTCATACTCCTATAGGATAATGCTTATCCTTTTACAACCCCCCCCAACTGCTTAAACCAAGTGAGATGGTTTTCACCATGGCCGAACTACCATACGACCGAGATAAACCTGGCTATGCTGAGCCACAGAGTAGGCCGAACTATCCTTAGTTCGGTTCTTCCATTTACTCTTTCCTATCTCGGTTTTTCATGTAGAACTCATGGTGCGGTTTAGACCGAGCCAACGATTTGCGACCGGTATAACTCCAAGACCGATATAACTCCAAGTTGCTTTCGGACCGAAGTAGCTTTACAATTCTTGAGCCGAAGTAACTTCATCTCTGTTGGCCGGAGTAACTTTATCTCTCTTGGGCCGGAGTAACTTCTCGGCCCTTTTTACCCAGTCCTTCATACTTTGGGCCATAAAGTCCATCTCATAGCTCAGCCCAATTTTCACCAAAAATTACTCTCTCACATATAATCTTAAAAAACCTCTCCACTATAAATCTATCCATTATTTCATCAGACCTTATACTGAAAAATACTCTCCCTATCACTTGTTCTATTTTACTAAGAGCAATCATCCTTAGTTATCTCCAATAATTTCTCAATTCTTATTCCAAAAATATTCCCTAATCATAAATTTGCTAATATTTCTACCCAGTATAATTGTAAATTGTATTCTAAAATTTCTCCTATATCTCTTTCTCACATAAAATTTTTAAAAACTCTCTCTCTGAATGTGAATTTTGAAAAACTGTGAATCTGATAAATAAATAACTCAAAAAATTCCTCTTTAACTAAACCTTATATATGTGGTACACATATTCTCTCTCTCTCTCTCTCTCTCTCTCTCTCTCTCTCTCTCTCTCTCTCTCTCTTCAAAATTGATTCCATAACTTATAAAACATCTTCAAATTTCTAGAGATAATTTTAAATTGGACCCAAAGCCTTTATTCAAGCAACTCTGATGGGATAAAACTTGACAAAATCAATATTAAATAAAAAATGAGATTTTTATCACACATCAGCAGCTACATAATTTTTGAATAATATATTCGAAGTATCACTACAACAAAATTGAGTTTTACGGCTCCACATTAACAACATACAGTAAATGCAAGCCGTGATTTCTCACTTTTATGACTTGCTTTTTTTGCATGCCGTAAATAATTTTCCAACCACAACGTGTTTATTGCGTAGGCTGTGAATGCTAATATTGATGATTTTTTACAACTTGCAATATTAGCCATAAATAATAAAACTTTCTACGATGTGCATTTGGCATGCCGTTAATACGCCAATTATATACGACAAGCGCACACCAGCCTTTAAAAATATTGAACATTTCATGGTGCACAAAAAGTCAGTCGTTATTTTTACGGTGCACAAAAAGTCAGCCGTTAAAAAATACACTTTCTACGACGCACATATACTAGCCGTTAAAAATATTCTATTTTTCACAACATGTAATTTCTGTTGTGAATAGTATGACCAAAATAAAAATAGGCGCCAAAATAAAAATTTTGAGCGCCAAACACCAAAAAAATTATAATTTTTTTTTTCAAAAACTCCAACTCTTTAACCCCAAAGCCAGAAACCCTAACCTCCTACGCATTGTCATAAAAAACCCAACTCTTCAAACCCATACACGATTACAGTTCCTCTTTCTCCCTCCTGCCTCCCATGGCACCGCCACTGCCATTGTGACTGTCGGGCTACCACCATCACCTCCGTTATCGACCTTTCTCTCTCTCTTCTCGGCTTGTTGCTTCAGGATATCGATTTGCTTCCGACGACTTACTTCTCTCTACATTTTCTCTCTCCTTATCTTCTTTTTTCCTCACCAGATCGACGACGATCTCCCCGCCCTTTACTTCTCTTCCATGGCCGCCGCCGTTTTCACCCTCACATCCACCGTACACCACCACCACTACCACCACTGTCTTCACTATCTTCGTGCCATTCTCGAATGACGACGATATGAGATATGAAGGCTTCAAATCTGCTAGATTTATGGTAGATCTGAGATGTGAGGGCTCTTTCTCCGTTGCTACAACCACCAAAATGAACGATGGAGATGAAATTTGTGTTCGATTTTTGTTGGTTCATGATCTATGTTCAAAGTTATATATATATGTAAAGCTCCAGTGATTTCTATGTGTGTGTGTATGTGTAATTGGGTATCTGATTGTTCGATTTCCAAACCCTAATGGTGAAAATGGAAATTCGAAATCTGTATATGTGTGTAATTAGGTATCTGATTGTTGTTTGATTTGGTTGTTAAAAACGTAGAGGAAACGCTTTTGGTTACGTTTGTCCAACTATTAATTACCAAGTACATGCTGATTTAAAGTCAAAATTGAATTCTTTTTTTTGTTGATTTTTGTGTGATTAGAATGAAATTGAGCTAGGGCTAAATTAGAGAAGCTGTTCTGATTGTTGGATTTGATTATTTTGGATTGATTTGGGGGATTTTTTTATAGAAATTATTGTCATTTTGGATTCAAGTGTTATTAATTTGAAAGAAGTGTTTTTAATTTCCTTTTCTAATTGATTTTACAGGTATATGCTAATTTAGACTCTAAAATTTTGATTTTTTTTTTGTACTTAATATGGACGTGTATATTTGTATAGGCTAATTTTTTTTTCGTTGTTGAATAGAAGAAGAGGTATGTTTTATGATAGGTCTAACAGTTTAATTGCCATATTGTCCAATGCATTGTCTTGATTGTTAAATTATATGGTTATAGGATAGTTTATGTTATTTTTGGGAAATCATATGCATTTAATCTGTGGAGGGGAAAGGGTCTAAGGGAGGTCATTTCTACTAATAATGGTTTTATATTCTTACTGTTTGACTTAAGTTCTAATAGTGCTGGTGTTCTTGAAGATGGTCCATGGTTTTTTGGGGGTCACTCTCTGATCCTGAAGAAATGGCACAAGATGATGAGGCTAAACATATCACCAGGGAAGATGCAGTGCAAGCAGAGCTATGGTTCTTGCCACTACTCTCCTTGTTTCCTTCTCACTTCACTTGGAAACAATTCACGAAGCTACTTTCACTGTCGGTGATTCTTTAGGATGGGATTTCAGTGTTGGAAGCTGGACAAATGGGAAGCAATTCAAGGCTAAGGATATGCTAAGTAAGATGAAATACTCTGTCTTTTCTTTTCTTTCATTAAAGTTCTTACTTTTCTTGAGTAAACCTTGATTTTATTTTGTTCATGGATGTTCGCTATTTTGTGAGAAATAGAATATGTTATATGGGTGTTCTAAAATTTTCATTACACAACTGGCTGCAAATTAATAATGGAAGTTCGAGATTGTTTAAATTATATGATCATAACTGAGTGCAGATCCATTAGCTTTTGATGAATATCATTCCTTGGATTCTACACTTCCCTTAAATTGTGATTTTCTTTTGAATGTTTCTTATAAATGTTTTAAATTGTTTTTATGTTTGATTTATCATAAATTTTTTGAAATTATTTTGATGTTATTGTTTCATTGATTTGATTAATGTTTTTTTTTCTAGAGTTTAGTTTATCATTTTTATCCTTTAAACTATCAATTTCATCTATTTAGTGTTCTATTTTCTAGAGTGTTCTATTTCATCTATTTGATTTGATTAATGTTTTTTGCGTTCGAGAATTATGCATATATATGTATACACACTCATACATGTTTGATTAAGTTGGTTATAATTGATACTGGTCTTGCCCCAAAACCTTAATTGATGTGTTCAATTTCATATGCATATATGGTGCTTGGTTGCTGAAGACAACGTGTTTCACAAAAGTCCTAAGTGAGGTGAGATTCCTCTTGCTTTGATTCTCTTTTCTGACTAACCAAGCTGAGTATTTTTCTCATTTGATTACTCTGGTTGATTGTATGTTATCGTTTTTAGCCTAATTTGTTAAAAATGATTGAGAGGAAAAGTAAAAGTTAGTTCCTTCTGGGGATAGTTTGGTGATAATGGGGAGCACCAAGGCAAAAACCTCCCCTGAGAAGACAATCACTTTGTCATCCTTATTGCTCTAAGATTGGTAAGTTTGTTCAATCTGCATTATTTGTTTCATATTTCGTACCTTATGTTCATCTTATTTGTTTCTTTATTTAACCTTTCCCCATTTACATTCCTAGGCTTGTAGATGTGGTGTTAATGAGCCATTTACAAGGGAAAGCAGAGAGTATTTAAGGAAACTGTGTATTGGAAAGGTGTTCATTTAAATGCTTTAGCTATAGCTATGATTACAATCTATCATTTTCCTAATGAGTGAGTAAGACATTTTTAGATCTGAACCAATCTGCTTTTGAATAGGATGTCATATTCAAAGTGGATTATACTATATCATTTATTGGGCAAGAATTTGGCTCTGTTTTCCTTGGTGATAAGAATGTTGCATTGATGGTTGTTTCTGATGGCTGGGTAAAGGTATATTACTCTTGATTTGTGCATACATTTTTTATTTTAATATCGAATTTTGGTTGTCTATGGATGGGCAATTACTGAATCTGCTGGGTGCAGGTTAGGGAGCAGGGTCAACAAAAAGGAGACGCTAGTCCTTTCTTAGCAGAGCTGCTACATCTTGAAGAGTAAGCCAAGCAATAAAGGCTAGGACATTGGACCAGGGTTAGTCTAAGTTCTTTACTTCCATTTTCTCCCCATACTTTTCCTATTTTTCTAGTACAGTGGAGCAGCAATAGTATAAGTTCTGTACCTTCCCCTCTTATTTTGTCCATGCCATAATAGCAACATAGTGCACTTGCACTATAAAAACCCATACTTCACTTGCGCTAAGAAATTTATAGTAGTGTTTTTGTTTTCAAAAGAATATATGAGTGCTATGCTGACAGGCTTGCCAACTCTAATTTGACTTGGTCTCTTTATTTTGGAACTTACAATGGTAATGGATAAAACCTATACAAATGGCATCTCAAAAGCTTTTCTCAGTTGTTATCTTTCAACTGTTACTTCTTGTTCCTTTTGCTTTAGGCCTTGCTAATGCAAATGGCCTAAAGCTTGGCTTCTACCACAAAACCTGCCCATCAATTGAGGCTATTGTCAAAGAGACAACTGCTCGATTTATTTCGCGTGCTCCGACTCTTGCTGCTCCTTTGATCAGAATGCATTTTCATGATTGTTTCGTCAGGGTACATCGCTAGGCACTGGATTTTTGTTTTTTTTATTTTTATTTATTTATTTTTAAATAATGCTATACAATCAGAAAAATTATTCAAAAGAATATCTAGAATTTAAAATTTATAGGACCAAATTTAGTTTGATTTGACCCTATAAAGAAGTTTAAATCTACAACAATATAGATTTTAATTTTTGGACAATTTTCTAGATGCATAGTATTTTTGGTTTTCTTATTCATTTTACATATTTGCAAAAGCGTTGTTTTATCATGCCGATTACTTACTCTTATAATGATAATCAGGTGGAGTTTGGCAATTACTTGTTTAATAGTTTTTTTGTTCATTTATTTATTTTGTCTTTAATGAATTATTATTTTTTATAATTTATAAAGAATTTTACATTTTTAGGTCCTACTCAGCTAGACAAACCTGAAAAGATTTTTTTGCCCCCCCAAATATATGTATAATTTTTAATGGCATTCTAAATTGGTCAGACCTAAAATGTAATAAATAAAAAAAGATTTGACACAAATCTTAAAAGGGAAATGATAGATAAGTGACAAAAAAAAAATATTTATAAAAAAGTGATAAACGTTATAAATATTAATAATTACAATTATAATTCTTTTCATCTTTTTGTAAATTGTTTTTCTGATTCTCCCTAATCAGTAATTCCCCCATTAGGTCCTACTCAGCTAGACAAACTTGAAAAGATTTTTTTGCCCCCCCAAATATATGTATAATTTTTAATGGCATTCTAAATTGGTCAGACCTAAAATGTAATAAATAAAAAAAAGATTTGACACAAATCTTAAAAGGGAAATGATAGATAAGTGACAAAAAAAAAATATTTATAAAAAAGTGATAAACGTTATAAATATTAATAATTACAATTATAATTCTTTTCATCTTTTTGTAAATTGTTTTTCTGATTCTCCCTAATCAGTAATTCCCCCAATCTCTAAAAACCCTTCCCTAAAGACAAACTTGGGAAGAAAAAAAGACAACGAAAGTGACTGAGCATAAGAATCAGTCTGATGATAGAAAGAAAAGCTATAAAATATGCACATAACAGGATAATGATAGTAGGGATTGAAAAACTTTTTAACTCTTATAATGATCATCAATGGTAGCAATTTTATCATAGCTAGTAAGTTTATAATCTAAGTTTTGTTCATAGGGATGTGATGGTTCAGTACTACAAAATTCAATGAAGAACAACCAAGCGGAGAAAGATGCATTTCCAAACCAAAACCTGAGAGGATTCCAAGTTATCGATGCTGTAAAATCAACACTGGAATAGAAGTGCCCAGGAGTGGTGTGTCCTGTGTCGATGTCCTAGCCTTAGTAGCTCGAGATGCAATTTCACTGGTAACAAAAAAAAAAAAAAAAAAAAAAAAAAATTTGGAAAAAAAAAAAAAAAAAAAAAAAAAAAACGAAACCAAACCGAACCAAACTAACTAAACTTTCTCTGCCAAATTCTTCAATATGGTTGGTTAACAGTCCCCAAAAAACATGTTTTTAATGATTTGATTTCCTGATTACATTACAAATCCATGGACCATTTTGGGTGGTGCCATTGAGGCGTAGAGACGGAAGAGTATTGATCATGACAGAGGTCTTAACTGGTTTACCTCCTTCTTTTGGCAACATCACTCTCCTCAAAACAATTTTTGCATCCAAGGAACTGAGTGTTAAAGACCTTGCTGTTCTTTCAGGTAGAATTAAATTTTCAAAATTGACACTGAAAATATTTGAGAAGAAAAACTCTGTTCTTACATAATGTTTATACACAATTGAAGACCAAAATAATATAGTAGTGTATTTTTCATGAAAAGATCTATCATATCATTGTGTATTAATTTTCTGTATGAAAATTTTAATTTTTTACTGAGTAATGCTAGAATGATTGATTTTGTATATAAATTTACTTATCATTTGATGAAAAAAAAGTATCGTTACATGCGATAACAACTATTCAGCTTATCATTACAACAAAAGACTATTGAATTTTTAAGATTTGCAGAGAAACATCATTGAGGTTGTAAATTCTGTATTAAATTTATGTCAAAACATCAAGATTTAGCTTGAAGTGTTTCTTTTGTTGACAGGGGCACACACCATAGGGATTTCCTTTGTCATACAGACAAGAAATGCAACAGGGTTAGTTGCTGCAGCTATTGTCGCCGGTTAAGGTGCATTAACACCTACATTCGGCACCCTCGTCCCTGTGATAGGAGCAAGTGGATTTACTACAGCTACAGCTGCAGCTACAACTACTATAGGAACTGTTGTCGGTAGTTTTAGATAATCTCTTAATAGTTGTAGATATGTTTAGGAAGTTAGATATGCATAGTTTTGGATGGTTTAAACTTTTTATACAGTTTAGAACTTAAGGATATAGTTTTCAAATGTTTGGAATGTATAGACAATTGTTGAATGTTTATAATTTATGGATATAGTTTCTTTTTGATGTTTCAAATAATATTTTGGTGGTTGATTGATGTTTTGTGATGCTTGTTTGTAACATTTGTTAGATTGTACAAAAGTGATCAAATAGAACCTGTTGAATTTAAAAATAAAAAATAACTACTGCATATTCTATGGCTGGCATAATAAGTCGTATTACATATTTTATAGTGCGCAATCGGCATCGTTATTTGTCTCACTAATTAACGGCATGCAAAAGTAGTCGTAGAAAAAGTAACAATAACGTACAAAATCTGCCGTTAAATAGTTTTTAACGGCGTACTATAGTAAGTCGTAGAAAAAGTAACAACGACGCACAAAATCCACCGTTAAATAGCTTTTAATGGCATTCGAAGCATGTCATTGAAAGTGAATGACTTTATATGACTGTCATAATATGATGCGCGCTGCACGTTGTAGACGGGTTTTTTTGGTGTGCATTGCGCGTCATAAATTTTTTTTTTGTTGTAGTGTATTTTTATTAGTACCAATGAAGGTCAAAATTTTAGATATGATTCATGATGAAAATCATAAAATACTAACACCAAATAGGAAAAAAAAACTGTAAAATAAGTTTTAAGAATAATTATTTGCAACACCTTTTCTATTCTATGAATAACAACCAAAAAATTCAGCTATATGTCTTGTCACAAGATATTAAAAAGAGAGAAAATTGAATAGATAATTAATCAAAACAAATAAAATATCCAAAAAAAAAATGTTAAACATTACTTAATAACTGCATTATTTGTTTGATTTTTCAATGAATTTTACTATCACTATTGAAAATAATAAAACTAAATCCATAATTTCCTTTTATGAAATTCAATATCGTGGGGAGGAGAACTGAATGGGCATGAAGATTATACCAATAGAGCCCTTACAAATAGTATAAGTTATTAACTTTCGGTAACAATCACCAATTCATAATACAAATGACTACGAGTTGTATCAAGGAAATTTATTAATAAAATAATTAAAAAAAAAAATCCAATAAAATCATACTGTTGGCTATATAATTTGTAAAAGCTAATCGTAGAGTGACACATGACACCTAAAGGGAAATTTAGAGAATTAATACAAGTCTCCAATCAAAGACAAACTTGTGGCAGTTCATATTGGTAATATCAGATCTGCGTGGCATCGAAATAGTCAAGAGGTGCAAGATGACGTAACCTAGCGGTTACCTACAATTCAAATTCAAAAGGAAAGCCTAATTGCAAAAGAGGCGTAGTGGGAGCTGGTTGAGCGAAGCCATGACCACAGATCGTGCAAGGGTATTTCGATGGTTAGAAGACCACTTCGACGGTTAGAAGACCACTTCAACGGTTATCACTAAAGAGTGTAAATAGCAGAGAAAGCTAAACAGAAAGGACCTAGACTCAGATTTAGAAACCAGTCATTTACTTCATATTTTCTTTCCAGTTTTATATTTTCAGTTCTTTACATTTTTAACATTTCAATTCTTGTACTAGACTTCATTTCCAAGGAGTAGTTCTCAAGTAGTCGTTGCTGTAAATCTTTTCAAGACTGGGTCATTTTATTGTAAGTTCTTATTCATTCAATAAAATTTAGTTTCTAAATTGTTTTGTACTTGTTATTTCTTATAAATTTCTCCTAAAACAAGCTACAAATAAAAGTCCTCTTCATTGAGACTAAAAGAACTTCAGCATAATCGTCTGATAATTGGTTGGTAATAAAAATTCTGTAAGGACTTATTGATCCTTGTTGGCACGCTTAAAATTACACAATTAACCTTCGAAAGCCAAAAAAGCCAACATATATTTTTGGCATGCCTGGTGAGACAATTAAAAATGGCCAGACATAGAGCAAGAGGAGAAAATGAATGCCTGGAAGATGGTGTGGAAGGAGAGGTAGAAGTGCCTAACCCAGAGGACAATGTGATGAATGCACCTATTCTATCAGATCCTCCACAAATGGTTGAATAGGCCAACACTTCAGAATATACAACACATGTCCAACACACTGGACAGGGCTATGAGACTGGACCTTCAAATGTCCCTTCTAACCAACCACTGAATCCATGGGGAGGTTTAGTAGATGCTATGGGACAATAACTAATGTATACAATAGAAAGATAGGAAACATCCTTTTTGGATCGAATGAATTCTCATTAACTAACTGTTGTAAGACAAACTAAAGAAAATGTAAATAATCCTTAGCAACGATTGGCTTAAGATAAACAGCCTATGCAAAATAATAGACAAGTCAATGGTCAGACTAATAGTCACAGCCATGAGAGGCCAGCATCTGTGCCTTAGTCATGGTATGAAACTCCTTTGAGACCAATGGCTACTCAGAATGCACCATTCTCTACTAGTGAAACCATACAATTTGGTGGATCTGGGTCAACCTAGGGTAATGGCATGAGGGCATTTTCAAATCCTATGTTTGAAAACATACCTGGCACAAGGGGTTTCACCAACCCTGTGTTTGAGTTTGCACCTGGGGGGTTGGAAGGATTTCTTGCAATTAGAAGAGAAACAACACCTGCTTCTCCTCCTGTGGTACCTTTCGCAGGACCTTTCGTCGTAGGGTAGGCCCCAAGAGGCCAGCCATACCTTTAACAGCAGCCAATACAGTAGGGACAGCCAGCCCTGAATGTACCCATATATGGACCAAGAGGCCCACAAGCATATGGTGTTCCTCCAAACCCTGTGTTTGTCCCTCCAGTAGTGGTTCAACCAGCACAAAATATGGTTCTAAGGGACCAAATTGCTGATATAGTTAGAGAAATGTGTGGACCTATGGCTCAAGGGATCCAGACACTAGTGTACAGAAAACCTTACCTAGAGTGGGTGGATAGGGTACACGAATATTCTAGGGGGTTTAGAATACCAGACTTTGCCCTCTTTTATGGAAATAGAAATTAGTCAACTATAGAATACATTGCCAGGTTTACAGGCCAGTGTGGTGAGTTCACTAATAACGATTATATAAACCCGAGACTTTTTCCAAATTTTCCAAACAGAACCTGAAGTTTCTATGGAAGACTTGGCAAGATTGAGCCAGAGGTTTGATGAGAAGGCTACTTAATTTATTGCCAGATTTAAAGGGGCACGAAACAAATGCAAGGTCATGCTACCAGAGCCTGAATTTGTAAGATTGGCTTGGAATTTGGGCTTCAAAAGAAGTTTGATTCAACTGAGTTTCGAGACTTAGTAGAGTTAACCTATAAGGTGTCTAGATATGAAACTTTACTCGAGGAAGAACAAGATCGAAGTAATGTATCATATAAGATGTACTATAGGGACCCTAATTATGAAATTGATGCAGCAGAGATAGTAGGAAAAGAACCTATGCCTTGTGAGACATTAATTCAGAAAGACAGTACAATAGACCAACAGTTTAAAAAGAAAGAACTGCATAGGAAGTATTCTTTTGACTTAACAAAAGTAGATGACATTTTTGATCATTTGCTTGCAGCAAATTTCCTAAAGTTACCAAAGGGAGTCAAGATTCCTTCCCTTAAAGAACTTAAAAGAAAACTGTATTGTAAATAGCACAATTCTTGGTCTCATTCAACTAAAAATTGTATTATTTTTCGAGACAGGATCCAAGAACAGATTTGGAAGGAGAGGCTAAAGTTTCTAGCCAAGTCTGAGAAAGCTATGGGAATTGACACCAACCCATTTCCAGAGATTAGGGAGGCTGCAGCCAATGTTGGCATGCTATGTTTCCAAA